TTTTGAAGTTCGAGGCGGCTCTGGCATTGAGCTTTGTCTGTTCTCAGCTGGGCAACTTCAGATTCCAAGCGACAGGCTTCCTCGGCGTAGGTAACGGCATGTTCAAGTTCAGCTGTTAGGGAGGAATCATCGAAAGAAGATAATTCAACATTCTTTCTCTTAGCTTTCGCTATCTTACTGCGAAGTTTCTTGATCTTGCGCTCCCAACAGGAAATGTTCGCCTTATTGGTAAGGATCTCCTGCTTATTTTTCTCCCTCGTCTCCTCCAATGCAGTGATCCTTTCTTCAGAGTCAACAATAGCACTCCAAGCGGCAGCTTCACTGCCTGCTTTCGTCTGAATGTCACCCTCAATCTGAAGCAATAACTGAAAGTCTTTGTAAACCTGGTCAATCAAGGTGCCAATTTCTTGAATGACATTTGCGACTTCAGGAGTAATGGATTTAAGATCCACTTGTTGAAGAAGAGCTTTGAGGGGAAGATGGTTGGCTGGGCCCATCTGCAGAAGGGTGAAAAGATCCCCTTTGAAAAAAAATTTCTTAATCTTATCGAGAGCACTGTCAGTTGGCTGATTCGAGGTTTTCCCTTCAGATGTCGAGGTGCTAGGAGTTCGACCAGAAGAATGACTCCGCCTGCTCAAGAGAAGCCTGATGTATTATCGAGGGTTAGAAACCTTCAACGCATCAAGTTCGACGGTGGTAAGCTGAGTTTCGCCTTGGAGGGGGATGGTTTGAGTATCCTTGGGAGCAGAAGAAACATGAGTCTTCATCACTTCAGCAGTGGTGGTTCTTTCGACGGAAATTTCTACATGTTTCGATTCTTTATCTTGACCTTCCTTCGCCCCTGCGCCATCTTTTTCCATTTCGTCTCCAATACCTTTATCGCTAGACTCGTTCAATTCAGACTGGTGCATGGCCTGATCTTCAATAGCATGATCACCTTCAACATCCCTTTCGTCCATAGCTACTGTTTGACCCAAGGGAGAACTGTTTGTATCGACCAAGTTTGTGCCCCCTCCGAAGTGTTGACTTCATCATCTGCTATCATAGGATCGACCAGAACATTGTTGTCTTCATGGTCAAATCAATCAGTTTGAGACTGTTGGGTAGTTGTTTTTGCAGGTGAAGGAGGGACTGTGATAGAATCAGGTTTATTAATCTCACCAAGAGAACTCATACCAGAACCCAAATCAGAAGTGGGATGATAGGTAGGCTCACCTTGGCTATTCAAGGGATAAAGCGATAGAGGAAGCTTGGTTGGGTCGGATTGTGGAGCCCTAGCATCAGCCTAGAAAAGACATACATTAAAAAGAATGGGACCAAAAAATCAGTGCAAGACCCAAAGAAAGATAGATGTGCAATATACCTTGACGTTTTCATCAGCAGGGCTAGAGTTGTCTCTCCATAGGGACAACAGTTTGGATCGAAGCATCCCCTGTGGGAGCCTTAGTAAGGTCTTGAAGGGGAATATTGGTTTGAGGTATGTCGGTTGCAGGAGGAGCGGATGGAGCATCAGGAGTATCCACATCATGGGTGATCTTTCGTTTTCTTTTTACTTGAAGACTCTCACGAGGAGATCCATCTTCGTCATCAGAATCAATGATAATCTGGGCAGAAGCCCTTTTTAGTCTCTTTTGTGGGGTAGGTGGTTTTCGACTGACCTGAAAGCAACACATAGTGTTAAGAGTGATTAAGGAAGTCAAAATAGTAGAACGTTGCGGAGGATTACCTTCTGGTCTTCGACCTTGCCTTCAGTTTTGGTTGCTGGGGCAACACGTTTTGGAGCAACTAAAAAAATAAAATAATACCAGAGCCAGTTAGCAACAAAAAAGCTCAGGGAGGAAAGTCCAAATCGAAGGGGGATGAACCTTCAAGAATTTCGGATTCGATGCAAACATCTTCGATACTAACGTGAAGGTGCCCTTTAAATGTATCGAGTGTATGTTTAGTCGGGACCACCCGCTGCGCTTTGGGCTTCGACTACTGTCGAAGAATTTGTATGGCGTCTCCACAAATAAACCAATATGGGAATGGAGGGGCAAAAGCCACGCCAAAACCAGCAGTTGGTAGTCAAGGGACTTTTGGGGGAAAAAGTTTAAAGGCAACCTCATACCGTTTCTCACGAGGAACAGAAGAGGGAATCTTTAAACTGTTCAATTTTTTAGAAAACTTTTCTTTCAAAGTAACAGCAGCCTCATGGATGGTTCGACTAACATCATCTGGTCGATAGGCAGTTTCGAAGTACTTCTGGAAGGCTTGAATCTCTTTGATATGAGTAGACGTACCTTTCTTGATCTTCTCCTGCACATCAACGAAAGCTTGGTCAATCAAGCGAGCAAAACTCGAAGCGTCAAGAAACTCTGATGCATAATGTTTCGACCACCAGTCGTAGAAGTCTTGGGAGCAAAAATAAGAAGGTTCAAAGTGGACTGACGTAAGGAAAGACTTATGGGCATGGCGCGCCAATTGTGTCGAACAGTCAAGGGGAGATAGCACCGCAAGAGGAAGTATGATATGTGATTTCTTATCATATAGGCATTTGGGCAAAGTCTGTATCAACCCAAACTGCCTGGACACCAAGTTTGGTTCGTAGGCCACTAAGTTGGTCTGACCTCTAACAAGGTTTAATTTATGAACCAGTAGTCGAGGTATGAGGAATCGTTCCCAAATCAGCTTTGACTCCTCTTCTTGTTTCTTTAATGGAGTAGGGAAGGGTCTGGTAAACCACTCTGGGCCGCATCTTCGTTCAGCAAAAGGAGCCATCTTCGAGGTGAACTCGTACCGTTTGGTAAACATGTGAATGAAGTTAGATAGAAGAGTATGTCCTTCTTCGCTAGGAGTAAGTTGGGCCAAGCGAGGCCACTCGACTCTTCTCTCAGAGACTGAAGACGAACCTTCATCGACTTCGCCTCTGTTGGGGAGGTTATGTTCAAAAGTGGCATTAAGCCACAACTGGAGGAGCCAAAAGGGGCCTGATAACAACAAGTTGCCATGGCTCTCAGGGTCTTTTAATTTTCCAGCACCTTCGCCCAAGGCCTCATAAAGACTGGCCAGAATCATCTCACTTAGGCAGATGCCTCTCTTCAGGTGCAGTTGGTTGGCTAGAACAAGATATTTTCGTGCCACCTGCAAGGATTTTGTACAAAATACACAACGAGATAACCACATTGTTGCGGTGAAATTTGGATATCAAACTATTAATTAGTTTGAATCTTTAATTCATTTGCAACCGATCTTTGATTTGTCCAAAGGAAGGGATAAATATCGAAATTCTCACAATGCAATGCAAATGCAAGGTTTGGAGAGTTTAGGTTCGGGGGTTGGTTAAACTTAGGGAAGGTGCTAGCATCCTAAGTTTCTGTAGTACTCTACAGGAACCTCTTGTTTTATGTTTGTTTATTGCTATGTGTTTATCTGCTTAATGGTTAAAAGACCTAGGGGTTTATTTCTAAGTATACTCGATAAGATGTCGCATTTTATGACTACATATCCTTACGGGAGTGGAATCAGAGTATTTGTAGTTCCCCTAAAGGGTTAAGGAGTTCTTTGACTGTGGTCAAAGTTCCTACGGGTTTAAGGTAGTTTGTTGATTGATTTTAGGAGAAGAGATGAGTTGTCATGTTAAGGGAGATTTAACCGCCACAAATTGTAAGAAAATGGTCTTTGCATCATCTTAAGAGAAGGGCTCAAGTACTCGGATAGGGATCGACGAGGTACGCCTCTATCTCTCTTAAGGCAAAGTTTCTACGTATTGATCTGTGTTGTTGTGGGGTGGAGATTCTATCTCGCTTAAGATGATTAACATCTTATTCTCTAATGTTTGGATGTTTTGTATTGAGTTGAATTGTTTTGTTTGTATCTAAGTTGTAAAATAAAGACAAAGGTCCTCCTATGGGGTAGGATCTAACTTAGAAAGATCAACTTGAATGAGATCAAGGATCATAGGGGAGTATGATGCAAATGATGTGCACTACACACGATTGTTGAACCATGTGTAGGTTTTTCCTTTGGACGGAATGCGATGCGATAATATAAATGCGGTAATATTAAATTACTGTAAAGATAAATGGTGGAAATGATAAAGGGCGAATAAGTAAAGCATACACATACGCATGAAAGCACTGAAGTGTGTGGGAGTGAATGTGTCGTGAATATGAGTGTGCACGATTAGGTTGTATTTTACGCTGTGAGTTGATTTTAACTGGTTAAATTGATTTTAGTTTGAATTAGTGCATAGTGACCAATGTATTTCTATCTGCCATGACTTATTTTTTGATACTAACAGTGTGAGTGTGTGAGTGGGAGTTAGATGTGTAGTCTACAACAATTGCATGTAAAATATATAGAAGAAGCGTGCATGCTGAGCAAGTTAAGGGACGTCCATTCAAAGGACGAACCCACACATGCATAGTTAAGGGTCGTCCAACACAAGGACGTACCAATTAATGTTTAGTAAAGGGTCGTCCAACTCAAGGACGAACCCATGGGGAACGTGTAGGGGTTCGGCCAACACAAGGGCGAACCATTAAAGAGGGCATTTTGCATGCAAGCCACTTGTAGTTGCATGCTTCTAGGGTTTGAAATATTAAGGTGCAGAAGAATCAATTAAGGCTGTTGAAAAATCATAGGGTGCAGTCTAGTATTGCATGCATGTGAATTTCCAAAGGATATTAGTGTGTATTATGTAATAGGGTGTATCCATTTTTCTTATAAATACAATGTAAACCACATTTTAAAAATCACCACTTCAGCATATATCACTACTTCTAAACCAATATTTCAATACTTCTAAATGGCAATGTTGTGGATGGGAGAAAATCATCGGGGAACACCGGCCAATATTGCCACATTTGTAAGTTTTTTTTATTCACATTAGTGTTATTTATCTATTTGAATTTATTTGTTTGTTCAATATTTCAATATTTCAATTATTCATCAAGTTTGTATTTATTTGTTTTTATATTTGAAACAGTCCGATAGCGAGAGATTTATACTACATTCTCATGCTATCGATGCACCAAGCAATGCAATTAAACCGTTTTTGGAACGAGCGGGTTTTTGCAAAAGTTGCAGAAATCTCCTCAATCAAAGTTGATTCAAAGCTTGCAATCGCTATGTTGGAGAGGTGGAGACCAGAAACACATACTTTCCATCTACCAACAGGTGAATGTACCATCACTTTGGAGGATGTGAGTATGTTATTGGGTCTTCACGTGAATGGTAAGGCCGTGAATGGTCCTACTCAGGTAGGAGGTGATGTATATATGGAACATTTAGGCATAGAACCTACAACATCTGATAAACATAAAGGGTTCGTTAAAATTGTTTGGCTACAAAGTACATTAGCACGATTACGACAAAAAGCAACACCATCCGGTGAGGAAAATATTTTACATGCAAAAATATATATTTTATTACTCATAGCTAAAGTATTAATGCCAGACAAGAGCCATAACTATTTACATTCTTCTTGGATACCCCTAGTAGGAGATTTAGATAAATGCAATAGATATAGTTGGGGTTCTGCTTGTTTGGCTACATTATATAGGCATATGTGTAAAGCATGTATGGTAGGGGTCAAAAGTATTGGTGGGTGTGTTCTACTACTAAGTGTTTGGACATATTGGCGTATACCACTAATAGCTCCAGAGTCTCCCGTCAATGCACACCATCCTTATGCAACAAGGTAAATTTTGTTTACATTTTCTTTATCATTTATTTTCTTTTTGTTTCCATCCCTAAATTATTTTTAATTTTTTTAACATTGCAAGATTTGTTCGAAGAGGCATGGCTTATCAAAATAATCCTCGGCACTACGTCCAAGGATTTAGATTTGCACTAGACAGATTAAGGGCTAACGATGTAAGTTTGTTAGCGCTACATTCTCTAAATATGTGCCACCCATTGTATTAAAATTATAACAATTATATTTTCTGTAACAGTTTATTTGGAGGCCATACCCAAGCTACCCAGAATGCGTCCTTGAAGATATCCAGATTTGGAGCGCTACAACTTCAATTATCAGTTTCCATATCGTTGAAATGCATCAGGCTGATAGGGTCAAATTGCAGTTTGGATTTCAACAAGATATCCCTCCTCAGCCTAGATGTCTACGTGAACAACATGAGACTGATATGCCTAATACATGGGGAGATCATTGGCGCAATATAAATAAAGAAGAAAATAACGAGTGGAGAAACAGAAAAAAATTGACCCTACGAGGTAACATGGTTAACGGTAACTATGTTCATAGTGCTGCATATATGCAATGGTTTTTATCCATTCCATTTATGCACGCTTCTCAAGGTCAGTTCCTAGAGGACCCCCGTCAGTATGCAACGTCTTCATCACAACAAAGATCCTCTTCGCCCATGCCTCAAGAAATGCCTCAGGTGAACCCTTCACAATTTCAAACACAGACATCTTCATTCAACCAGCCAACATTCTTTGCCACCTCCTCTCAACAACCAACACAACCACAACCTCAACCAACATATCAACGCACTCATACCACATTCTTTGCCACCTCCTCTCAACAACCAACACCGTACACCCCAACCCCACAAACAAACTACTACTACCAACAACAATATCAGGAACAAGCCACATTTCAACCTTCTTTTCAATTCACTCCGATCCCTCAGCCTAATTTTGATTTCTCTTACCCCCAACCACAACACCAAACATTTAACCCTTCAATGTCTCAACCAAGTTCATCCGGTCGCACCGACAATGTTTATTACCCTCCCATCCAACAAAGCCCTCCAACCACCTTCACCCAACCATTCCAGTCAGCCCCTAACTTTACCCTAACTGATGATCAACTCATGGAATGGCCAGGTTTTTCGGTTACTGATGTGGACATGCTTGATACATCACATCAACCTGAAAATGAAGAGTTGACTTCCGACTCTACCCCATCACCTCCAACATCACCTCCAATACGGCAAACTCAAGAGTTAGGCAGGGGAAACGTGTGAAAAAGAGTACATTGTGTGGAATTGACGGTCATTTGCGTAGATAAAAATGATGTATTTTCTCCACTCATTAATATTAATAAAATATTTTTTATTTATGATTTATTTTTTTATTTTATATAATTATTTAGTTAAACAATTAATTATATAATTTATTATTTTATATAATTATTTATCATTTTGTATTTTAAATAATATTAAAAAATAATTTGAAATAATTAAATTACTTATTTATTAATATAAAATATCATTTAACTAATTTTAATATATAAAAAACAATTAATTAGATAATGTAAAAAACAATTGATTATATTTAACAATTAATTATATAATGTGAAATATATATTACTTATATTAAATTTTTTTAAAATAATTAAATTATTTTTTTATTATTATATAATATTATTTAAATAATTTTAATATATCAAAAAAAATTAAAAACATAAAATTATTAAATATAATATATCATAATTTCTGAATAAAAAAAAATTAAAAAAAAAACAAAAAAAAAACAGCTATTAAGGGTCGGCCAATGGATGGCCGAACCCATGCTGCGTGTAAAGATCCTTCAATGGGTCGTCCAACTATAGGGCGAACCCTTGTAAAAATAGTGGCAATTCAGCAATTTTTTTCCAATGTGTGGCAATTTGGTGTATAATTTTTCAGCTTGTGGCAAAACAGAAAAAAATTCCATGATGATATTTATAAATTACTCATGTATTTCTTTTGTACCTGCTTGTGTATGGTGATGGTGCACTGCCATTTTAAATTTCTGAATGTACTTGTTGCAGGTGAAATGTGGAGGTACAGGGAGTGATATAATCTGTGGCTAGTTGAGTTAAGAACTTTGAATGATGTGCTTATTGATTCAAGGCAATGGAGCCAATTTTGGCCTTTTTTTCACTGTCAGCAAATATTGTGATTACTATAAACAAAACATTTGATAGTCATGCTTCTTATTTCATCCTTCAAGTATTTTGTGAATTCCAAAGTTGCATTGTATCATGAATCTTCTGCCTTGCCTTATTTATGTAATGATCATGATGTAACATGGCTTCATTTTGACTAAATCTTACCCTTTTGGTACCAGGTTGCAAATCTTGGAAGTTGGCATGAAGGATACGCACGAAGGATTAAGGGTTGATTTTGAAAGAATAGAGATCGGGATGGGCTTTGGAAAATAGTCTGGGCATGGCAATAAAGGAGATTTTAAGAATAAGGCTTAGAATTTTTAGGTTTTAGGCTCCCTTTTGGTTTAGTCTTCATATGTAATCAAACAAAACATTGAATTTTCAATTGTAATGAAGCTCTTATGCAAATATAGACTATTCAATGCCATCTTTCTTTTCTCTGCGACATAAACTTGACACATAAAACCATACGCATGAGGTGTACAAGCATATTCTAGGCTTATAATTCCACAGAGAATGGTGTAAGAACTATTTTAAAATTGAAATGCAATCCTACACATACCTTTAAATAACTTGATTACCAATGAAACAGATGTTAACTTAAACTTGTGAGAAGCAAACTTGCAAATATTTGGTTCTAAATAGGAAGAAAATACGGATGTATGCATAGGATTCTAATTATCTAAGTACAAGGTTAATCCAAAGACTAGGTAGGCGCACATGGACTAAGACACAATGAAAATAAATTGAAAAGACAATGCAAATAAAGTTAAGACAAATTCGGAGTATGACATTTATGTGATTTAAGTTCGAGTATAAATGTGATTCCACTCGATTTAGTTAAAGAATTTGAAGTATGGAAAATCATACCGACCAATATCACTCTTGCTTTAGCTGACTCATATGTTACCCAACCGGTTGGTGTCATACAAGATGTGTTAGTACATGTCGATGGTTTAACTTTTCCTGCAGATTTTATAGTCTTAGACATGAAAGGAAGGTCAAAGGGCTTCGTGATTCTCAGACGCCCATTCTTAGCAACTAGGAAAGCTATGATCGACGTTGAAATAGATAAACTTATTTTAAAATTTAACAAAGAGAAAGTGGTTTTCAAGGTGTATGATTGGACACTGTATGTGAGCGAGTTGGATGCATGCTATCACATGGAGGAAAAAGGTAGTAAGGTTGATAAAAGAAGAAAACCAACCAAATTAACCTGCATTAGTGTTTCTCTTGCGTCTGACGTGCCTTAGGCATGTGTAGTCAAGCTAGTGACGGAAATAAAGCGCTTGATAGGAGGCATGATCTGTCACATGTAATCCAAATGGATGTTGTACAAGAGATAATTTAACTTTTCAGGCATCATCCATGCGGATTGAGGATCGAGAAGTGAAACAATTAAGAGGTAAATAAATTACTCTAGTGAAAGTGGTGTGGGGAGGACGTGTTGGAGGAAGTATTACATGGGAGCTAGAGAGCTAGATGATGGAATCTTATCCAGAACTATTTTTTCCAAATAATTTTCGAGGGAGAAAATCCTTTTAAGTGGAGGAGAGTTGTAACAATTTGAATTTGGTAATAGTAATTTATTTGTGTGTGTGTGTGTGTGTGTGTGTTTTTGTGCGTGCATATGGTAATTTAATAAATAATGTGAATATAGAGTATTGAAAGCGGAGAAATAAAATAGAATTATTTAGAGATAATTGGAGAAATTATTAGATTAAATGGAAAATGTATATTTTATGATTTTTGTATAATTTGTATTTTTATTAAATAATTATTTAGTGGGATTTTATTTAAACTAAATAAAATTATTATTTTATTAAAATCAAATATTAGTGGAGTGGAAACAATTTGTAACTATTAGGATTGATATATAAGCTAATGTGGGAGGACTTGAGAGTTTACGTGAAAAGTAAAGCATTTTAGAGTACTCTAGAGTCACTTTTGATATTTAGGAGTTGTTGTAGAGTTGTTTGAAGTTCCTTGAGAACTCTGTTGAGTAATATATATAAATTGTTATAACATTTGACTAACTATGAGTATATAATAAAATGATAAAATATTTTGTTGATATGTTTTAGTATGTTGGTTGATTTTCGAGCTGATGAGTAATAATACATCTTTACTCAGTTGTTGATAGTTTTTTAGTTATAATATTATTATAAAAATTAATTATATATTTTTGAGTTGAGTAATTCAAAGAAATTATAGTGAAGTCTGATAATTGGCAAACTTATAGTTCAAGAGTAGAACATGTCTGATAATCATCAAAATAATTTAATAAAAAATGAAGAATTAATTGAATATCCAAAAAATATGGATAAACTCAACAAATGGGTTATACCCTCAGTTCCTTCTAATCAAATTTATAGATTTGGTAAGATAGATGTTTTTTCTCGTTTTGCTGTTAAAACTTTAGAGCAAACGATTCAAATTTCTAAAGAAACTCAGACAATAAAACTGTTAACTAAAAAAGATTTGAAACCTTTTAAAAATTATAATTTTATCCATATTGGATTGGTTCAAATTGCTTTAAAACCTTTAACATTATTGGGTTTAAATTCTAGCATAATGGCTTATGTTAGAGATGGTAGATGTAAAGATTTCAAATAATCTTTAGCTGCTATGGTTGAGACAAGTCTGTGTCATGGACCAGTTTACTTTGATGTCTCACCTAATTTAAATCTATCTTTATCTGATAAAAATTTATTAGATGCTATGCAATTAACAGTTCATACTAATGGTTATAATTTTAAACCGGGAAGTGAAATTATAGCAATATGCTATAGAATCTACTATAAGGTTCTTACTACGCTTAATCCTAAAGCAAAGCATTTATCATTTCCTGGAACCACTACTTTGGTTCAAACCAATTTATTAACATCCAATGTTGCAACCAATAGGTTAATAAAGTGGGATGAAATAAACTTCCCAGAGACATGGTCTCTCCCCCAGGAAATAGATCCTGAACCTATCCTTAATAGGGATATAGACCAAATTATTCAGACTACTGAAGGAGATTTAGAAATAAATTTCACTTCAAAAAGAATAACTAGAATACCCAGGTCCCTATCTGCTAGGCACTCAGTTAGTGAATTTTACACAGCTCCTAGCCAATTACCTAGACCTTCTACTTCTCAAATAAGAGAAGAAATAGAGGTCGTTGAGAATATAAGACTAAGCGAAAATAGAGTTCCCCATGGAATTTATCAAAGACCTCATACTCCAAGAGTAGAATCACCTACTCAGTCAGATATGGATTTCCAATTATAATGATAGATTACTCCCCTGGTAGTAAGATGAGACAACTCATCAATGATGAGTTTCAACATGAGAGATACTCTCAATTTAGAAATTGGTTTTTTAAAAAAATTTCAAAACCTGAATTAGCCCAATTTAAAGATGAGTATTACACTCAAATGAACCTTGAGCAGAATTTCGTTCCTTTTGTTAAATGGTTTGTTAATTACTTTATAAATAAAAAGCAAGAAGAAATTCTTGTGTTACAAAGACCTTGGGAAAACATTAGAGGAGAAATAATGAAATCTCCTTTTCCCCCTGAACAAACAATAAGTTTGAGTCAAAATACTGAAGCTACCCCTTACCTTAGCCTTCAGTTACAAAGAGTTGAACAAAATCAAGTTACTCTTAAGGAATTAAATTCAGTTATCAGGTCTCAAAATAATACCAATGCTTACCTTGTTTGCTTAGGAGAACAATTTATCTCCATGGAAAAAGATCTCTTATCCATAAAAGATCTTTTAGAAAAACAAATAGAGCGTCAAGATATCATTATTGACCACATAAGTAAACCTAAAGACCAAATATCCACATCCACTATTTCGGATGTTCCTATAGTACAACCTCCTGTTTCCATAGAAGGATTTAAAATGGAAACTAACGGAGAAGAATTTGTTCGTATTTTAGAACAAAAACTAAAAGGACTTAATATCACTGTCATGTCCCATGAAGATTATTCTGAGGATAATAATGACAACCATATTGACCAGCTTGCTGATATGTTTGCTAATTTAGACATTAGTAACTTTGATATTAATACTAATAGTATTAATAATACTAATAGTATAA